TTTTTTTTTTTTTTTTTTTTAGTTCCACAGGCCAAATTTCTTTATTCAAGTAAATTTGTTCGGTATTAAAATCTTTTTATTCATTAACTCGTCATACTGGGATTATTAGCCAGCACAAGCAATTTGCAACTTTTCAGAACATCGTGTGAAATTTATAAATTTTTAAATTAACTGTGATCTCGAATTTTCCAATTTAATAATGATCTTATCCGTTAAGGGCTTGATTCGAAGAAATTTTGTCAAATAGAAACAGTATTTTTCCTATTTTATTAATCTGTAAACGTTTATAAGTTTCTATGAAATGTTATTCTTCGTGGAAGAACTTCTATTTTTGTATATATAGGAGATTAAATTATAGCAAATGTAATATTACGAATATAAGCATAAATAAATTAACAATTCATAACACTACAACTATCAGACAAATCGAAAAGCTTAATACATAAGTTTTCGTAAGAAACGATTACACTTTTGGATGATTTTCTTTCTTTTTTTTTTTTAATAAAATATGCAAATCTTGTTTCTCCTCCTGTACGTATGTGTATCTTTCGCTTTGATTTCTTCAGGTACAGGTTTTATATTTCAGTCACGTCATTTGTAGTTCAATTTTCGCGTAAGAGATACGAGAGATAGTTGTCGAGAGATAATTTTAAAGCATTTCGCGACGTGAACGTGTCGTCCGATTAAAGGAGCATTGTAAAAAGGAGTAGACTATTCTGGACGCACGAACCGTGCAAAGGTGGAGCAGTTGTATCTTATCTCGCGTTTAATCGACATCGTTGAGCCCAACTGTGACGCTCCTAAGCTCCCGGTAATTACTTAGATGGACAGACCTTTGACACGAGCCCCCGTTTCAACGCGGCAAATAAAACTCGCATTATATATACATTCGGTTTTAAGAATTCGTTCAATTTCATCCCCCTAGTTAATTACTTCCAGTTTACTTTCGATTCTCTCTCTTTCCATTTCTCAGTAATTTATTTAATTTCCTTCCCTTTTTTTTTTTTTTTTTTATTTGTCACGAGCTTTCAACAAGTAAAACTTGTGTATATATATATATATTCGCCAAATTCATCCTCCCAGTGAATTATCATGAATTTATTTTCGATCGCCAATACTTCTCTCAATGTTGTTTTTAATTTTACTGTTTTTTTTTTTTTTCTATGTACAGGATTCTTTGCAACGAAAAAAAGGAAAACAAGGCAAAAACCGGTGCGAACATTAGAACGATTTTGCAATGGCCGATCATTTATTCCGTTTGATGAGTTTTTCATTGATCGATCGTATTTCAATGTGACAAATAAAACTTTTATTATGTTATACACGCTTGGTTTTAAAAATTCAGTTCAGTTTCATCCTCCAGTTAATTATTACGAATTCATCTTCAGTTTTCAACGCAGTTTTCGATTCTCTTTCTCTCTCTCTTTCAGTGTTTTCTTTTTTTTCCGATTTTTTTCACTTTTTATTTACAGGATTCTTTACGGTAAAAAGAAGAACGAAACAAAAATCGAGACGATCATTTATTCCATTCGATGAGTTATTTATTGATTGATCGTATTTTAACATAACCAATGAAACCTGTGTATCACGCGTTATACAATACAAACTCGATTTTAAGAAGTAGTTTTCATTTCCTTCCCTCGGTTAATTATCACAAATTTATTTCTCAACGCTTCGATTCTCTCTTTCCGTGTTTTTCTCTTTTTCTTCTTCTTCTTTTTTTAATTCTCTTCTCCTTTTTTTATGTTAAAAGAAAAAAAAGAACGAAACAAAAACCGAGACGAGCATTAGAACGATTGATAATGGCGGAGCCGATCATTTATTCCGTTCGATGAATTTTTCATTGATCGATCGTGGAACGCGCCGCGATGACGACGACGACGACTTCCATGTTAAATGAAAGTTGCCATCCAGATAAAGAGGACGAATGGTAATTGCGATTGCCACGGGTTGAGCAATTAGTCGAGCGATTGGCGCGTCGAAACGCGGCGAGAAAGGAAATAATACGAAACCGAGAACGAGCGTATGATTAATATTGTACGAGCACAGTTATCGAAGTTTCAGTTACGCCTGATATTCTGATATACAGGCGAATTAAAATATCACCGGTCTTCTTCTCTCTCTCCTTCTCTCTCTCTCTCTCTCTCTCTCTCTCTCTTTCCTTCTGTAATTACATCACGTTCAATTCCCTGTGTAATTAATTTGCAATCCAGGATAAGTGTTTTCGAAATTGCCGATAAATTCCGGGAAAGGAACACTGTTCGTGCCTTTGCCTCTGCAATTTGGACGGCTGAAATTTCTAGGGCAGCTGAGAAATAAGATCGTTTCTATATCCTTTAACGTTTCAGATTGAAACAAATAAATTCACTGTCTCCGTTTAAAAGTGTTAGATATATCGAACAAATTATTTATTGTTGCGACTCGTTTTAGAAACGAAATCTCCTGTTCTATTTCCCTTGTTTAAAAGAATTACAACAACTCTTCGTATAACTGTTGATAATTCTGACGATTAAAATTCCTCTTTTCGCACATTGTGAAACAGTTTCAAAGTCAGATTTAGTATTTCTAATATTAATGTTTGAACGCCCGTAGAGTCGATCAATTCAATTCTCTTTATTACTTAAAAACAATTATTACGATCCTCCAGTGACCATTTAAAACCATTGAAAGTTCGCTCTGCACAGTTATCATACTTTCAAACATGGTTTTGAAAGTCAGACTCGGTTGTTTCTAGTGTTAGAGCTCGGACACTCGTCAGCCAAGCTATTTATTTCGATAGAGTTGATCTTTTGGAATTTGACTTTTCGCGAAAACTTTCTGTTCCGCCATTATTGTTTCTAAAAAAATTACAACGACCTTCCGTATATAATAATGATAATTTGGAAGCATTAAAAGTCATGGTTTCACCGGTTTTCATACTTTATAAGACAGTTTAAAAGACAGACACTGATGCGACGATAGAGAAAACCGCGACTCGGAGGGCCGGAGACGATTGATTCGCGATTACCGCAGCATCGAACGATCGATCCAGAAGCGAAGCGATAGTTAAGCAGATAGGGCCACCTGTCTATTAGCTCCGGGTATCCCGGTATCAGAGTTGTTGATCCTTTTCCGGACCCCGGGCGAGCGCTTCGTTAATTAATCTGGCAGCAACGGACTCGCCGGCTCAAAGGCACCCTTTTTCGCCCCGGTTCATCCATCCATTTACTTGCTGCATCTCTTTCCCGACGCGTTTCACCGCGGAACATGGCCGAGGACAACGAGCCGTGCCAGATAATAATTATAGTTATAGAAAAAAAGGAGACTCGCGAGCTTCTGTCGCCACTTGAAAATACGCGCTTTGATGCCCACGTGTCACATGTTCTCAGAATTTCCCCTGATTTGTACCTTTGAAAATGGTATAAATTGGAAGATTACTAATCTCGTGATTGTGAGGAATTTATGGGGAAAAATTTGCAAAAGGAGTGGAAAGACGTACCTTCTATGAGATGCATATCAGATGGTGGTCAAACGTGCAAATTTGAGAATTTAAAACTTACTACAGATTTACAGATATTTGTAACATTCCAATACAATTAGCAAAAAGTAGAGTCTAGAAAAGTAAATCTAAATTTTTTAACTAATATTAAATAGATTAATGACGTAATCAAACTACCAGGTATAATAAAATACATTTAATGCAGCCCTCAAACGTGTGATTCTTTCGTCAATCTTCCGATTTAAAATATCCGACTGTTATAAACCTTACCTCTGAAAAACACCATAAATTAAACTATCCGTTCGAATCGTATCTCTACGTTTCGAGCAATTTCGTTCTGTTATTTTTTTCTTTTTTTTTTTTCAACCCTCTAAAACCGACTGATTGCTCCAGCTAAAGCTGCTTTCTCGCGAGTACAAAAGGAGCGACACGTGTCGCCGATTGGTGGACGAAGCACCAGCGAAACAATCGAATCGGGGCCGATACCAGGTCGACGCGTGGATGATTCGTGAGGCTTGGTCGATGTGGCTAAAGACGAAAATTAAGTCGTCCACCAGGATTATTCTCTCCGACCCCTGTTCGTGATTTTAT